GGCGCCCAGTCCCACCGGCATGGGGCAGAAGAAGAGGTACCCGTTCATGCTCCATCCTTTCCTGTCCTGCATGCTGGGATCCGTGGGCTGGTCCGCCACGCCGAACTGGCGCGGGTGCAGCCCGAGGCACCAAAGAATGTAGGGTCCGCAGTACAGGAGTCGCACGACCGCAGTGTTGACGTCGCCCTCCAGGCCCGTCCAGCTGTGGTCTGCAGGGAGTGGCAGGTCGGCGCGGGCCGAGAAGCCCGCCTGTTGGGCTTGACGGGCCCTGATCACCTCCTTCTCCTTCTGCTTGCGGTTGGCGTCCGCCTGCAGCCGGGCCTTCCCCTCTGGGCTGGCGGCGTCGGGGATGCCGTCCTGGAAGACGCGTGGGTCCGCGAGGGTCTGGCGCAGAGATCCGTCCAAGTTGTGGTGAACCAATGAAAACAAACGAAGGTCGGTTTGTCAATTCACAAGGACATAAATTCTGCGGTCGGTCCCCCGCTCGACCTCTGGTCCCCAGGCCCCCTCGAGTCGTGCAGAAAGCATGACGAGAGGCTTTTCGCAAGCTTCGGCTTCCTGCCTATTGCTCCGGAGGAGTGGGCCGCCTCGGGGCAAACGAAAAACGATTTGGGATTACTGTTCCCGTCCTTGGGGATGGGTCGAGAGTCGAGACCTCTGGAGGCCTACGCTGTGAAGAAGTGGCACCGTCAAGGGTCTGGGTCCGTCCTCTTCCCGAACATGTTCTTCTTGGGTGGAGGGCACAGGGTGAATGCCGTGTCGCTTGGTTTTCGAGGCTTGAACCTTGCAAGAGGTGAATCACAAGTCTGATTGGTTTTCCAAGTGCAAAAGTCCATATGGATCTCACCCTGAGCCCTCCACCCTACGAAAATGCCCAGTCTTATCCTCCATCCCCCCCCCCTGCCTGTCTGCCTTTCCCGCCGCGGCGGCGCCTCGCCGCCCCCGGGCGCGGGGGGCCGCGGCACGGCCCGCGCGGGCCGAGCGCAGCGCTACAACGGCGGCCCCGGGGATCCCCGGCCCCTGGACGAGAGGCGACTCGAGCATGAGCACACACAGAGACGCAGCCCCCTCTCCCTCTTCCTCCGCCTCCCCCTCTCCTTCCGCGGCCGTCCTTCGGCACAGCTGCGGCCCCGGCGAGCGAGGCCACGGCCCCCACGCCAAGTCCGGGAGGGCACGGGCGGGCTCCCCCCAGCGGGGCGCGCGCGACTTTGGCGGCCGCCTCGCTTCGTATGAAGTCGGGCCTGTCCCTCTACAGGAGGAATATTCAAAAATTGAAAAAATAGTCTGGGGACGATATGTTGACTATCTTTGGCTGTTTGGCAGTATGTGTTAGCTATGTTTAGTGTTTCGCCCAAAAGCCGCCTCTATGGGGGACACGCCCGACCTAAGCCTCGTCTCCTCTTCACCCACGGCAGGCGCCGTTGTGGACCACATGAGGGGCAGTCTTAGGGTTAACCGAGGAAGAAAAAACGCCATATTGAACATAAACTGTTGGCGCTCCGCGCGGAGCGCCAAAAGTGTATGTTTCTGGCGTATGTTTCTTCTCATAGGTAAGGCGGGCGTGACCCTCTGCGGGAGGAACTATGCGAAAAGAGTCAAAACGTAGTCTGGGGACGAGGTTTCTACTACTCTGGACTATGTTTGAATATGTTTCGGCTATTTGTTACTCGTCGTCAAAACTCCGCCTGTAGGAGGACATACCCGAACTAATGTTAGGGCTGGATCATTAGGCTCGGGAGGGGATGATACATCAACCCCCAATCGCCCATTCATCGCTGAGAGTGGTATGGTATCCCACCCCGCTCAGGAGCGCGCGGATTTGGTATCGGGGGCCTGCCGCCGATCTACCGGCGAGGCATCCCAGAATCCAGGTCGAGACTTTCCCCCCTTAGCCCCCTATCGTTCCCCGCCATCGTTCCCCCCTATCGTTGCACCCCCAGTCAACCCGCATAGTAAGGATGAGCGACGTTCGAAGCTGATCCCTGCATCCCTTGGCCGCCTTCGCTGGCCGCGCCACGCTCGCAAAGTGTCGACATGGCCTCCCCACGGCCCTTGCATCTTGATCCTGCATCATTACACGAGTTGACTGTATCGCTGCTTGCCCCCATCGCAGCGGCCGATTTCGGCCTCCTCGCGCCTCGGCTGCTCCCCGGCGGGCACCGACTCCCACATCCGCCCGTGGCCGCGCTCGGGGGCGCGGTTGTGCAGCGGCGATCGCGTCTGCGTATCTGCTCGTCGGCCACGGGCAGAGGGGGAGGGGCTGAGGGGAGGGCTTCTGAGAAGCACCCCTGCTTCCTAGCAGGCGCGGGCCTCCTCTGTAGCTGCAGGGCCGGCGCCTTCTCATGAGCAGCTTTCTTCCAAAAAGCCTCCGCGCGTTCCCCTACCCCCCTGCGCGCGCCGCCAAGGTTGGGCTCGGATTCACTTGCAGGTTGGAAGCTGAATGCTCACGCTGGCGCTCGCCTGGATTCCCCGATTCTGGAAGTCATCGCAGAACAACCATGCCATATGGTGTTCGGCTGCGCAGGCGAGTCCACACCGTTTCTGTGCGTCTGCGCGCGCGTTGTGCCGTTTGTTTCGGTCGGATCCCCGCTCCAACGCACCTTGTACCAGCGATCGATGGAGCAAAAACGACGCCCAAATGGCACAACATTCATACATAAAGGTACTGAAGCTATCGAAAGTTCCCATTGCATGGGAGCGCGGGCGGCCGTGCAAATCCGAGCAATCGGCGCCCTTGCTGACTTCGCGGAGGGATTGCATTCGCTGCGGCCAACGTTCTGATTCGACTGTGTTGCTGGCGACCTCTTTCCTGCTTGCGGCGTGCGCGCGAAATCTCAATCCTCTCGGCCGGCCCTTCGTCGCTTACCGCACGTGGTGGACAGAACAAATGTTAGGTTTAGTTTAGGGTGGTCAAACGCTTCATGTTTGCACACGGCCATGTGTCAGATGTTACTCCTGCTTGGGATCGCTCCCAGATCAGCGAGGTGAGATAGAAATACCAGGTGCACAGCAGATGGAGCCTGGCAAGCAACGACAAAATGCATTACATCCTATCCTCTGCCCCCGTCCTCTGTTTCCGCCTACTCCCCATCATCATCATCAGCAGCATCAGTCTTCTTTCTACGTGTCTGCCGCGGTCAATTTGAAAGCCCGTGGGGCTGAACAAAAACTCGTCATCCTCATCCTCCCTGCACTCCCTTTCCTCGTCGTGTTCCTCCGCCCCCTCCTCATCCGCATCCTCTGCCTCTTTCGTGACTCCTCCCCCTCGTTCTGTCCGCCTCCTCTTCCTCCTTCCCCCTGCACCCTCCCCTCCTTCTCCTCACCCTCACCATCTCCCCTCCACCCCCCCATCGCCCCGTCCCTTCACTTTCTCCCTCCTCATCCCTCCGTCCTCCTCCCCCCCTCCTCCTCGGACACCTAACGCCTTGGTTTGCTCACTACGTGGACTCCCAGAGGCCTGCACCCATTCCCCGAGACTTTTACCTCATCCTTGGCAGTTGCTTGATGGCTCCAAAACCGCAACTGCCAAAATATCTTGTTGTGGTTATGCTTCGCAACGCGAGTGGGCAGTGGCCTCCCTTTTTCTCGGCCCCACCACCTCTCCGCGGCCCTGCATTGGCTGCAGGAGCTGTCGCGTTCTGCGGCCATAATATTGATACTGGCACTGTACCGTTGAACATCATAGGCCATCCAAGTGTGCAGCACTTGTTCGATCACCTCGAATCGAAGAAGAAAAAATGCATTAACATAAAGTATTAGCGCTCCGCGCGGGCTTCTTGGTCCGCGCAAAGTGTATGCTCATTATTGCTTCGAGTATTATTAGTATTATTATTAGTATTATTATTATTCTTCGTATTGTCTTATGTGTTGCATGATTAGTATTATTCGTCGGCGTATTCGTATTGTAAGGTGTCTTATGTTTATTATTGTTAGTATTCGTATGAGTGCGCTCCTTCTTCGCGTTGATAGTCTTTTTTATGATTCGTATTAGTATTGTTATATGCTGTTCTTAGTGCATTTAGTATTGTTCCCAACCCTCCTTGGTCGGGTGTTCGTTTTGAATAGAGCACCGCGGTCGCGTCTTTCTCCTCCTCCTCATCCCGCCTCCTCTGCCCTCTCTTCGCCGTCGTTGGAGGGCTGCGATCTGCGAATCTGTCGCCGCTTTCGAGACCTGCTGGTGGGTCCAGCGGAGTGAGGCACCGCGCAGACCTGAGGTAGACCTCGCCGTCCCTGGGGGGCTGCGATCTGCGAAACTGTCGCCAAGTTCGAGGGCTGCTGGTGGGTGCAGCGGAGTGAGGCACCGCGCAGACCTCAGATAGACCTCGCCGTCCTTGGGGGGCTGCGATCCGCGAAACTGTCGCCACGTTCGAGGGCTGCTGGCGGGTCCAGCGGAGTGAGGCACCGCGCAGACCTGAGGTAGACCGCGCCGTCCCTGGGGGCTGCGATCTGCGAAATTGTCGCCGCTTTCGAGGGCTGCTGGTGGGCTCGCCACTTTCGAAGGCTGCCGGTGGGTCCAGCGGAGTGAGGCACTGCGCGGACCTGAGCGGGACCTCGCCGTCCCTGGGCGGCCGTGTCATGTTCTTGTTGCCCCGCCGACGTTTCAAGCCCCTTGCCCACAGTCTCCTTTTGGATGGACCTTGCGTCTTCTTTGGTGACTCAGGAGTCACTCAGGAGTTCACTTAGTTACTCATCGTTTTCCCTTGACTGGGGATCTGCGAACCTTCCGAATGCCGCTCGCAGAAGTATATGCGTCCATTTCACGTCGCCGCCCTCTCGTAAAATTTCCAAAGCTACTCCTGCCCAGCATTGCGCAGGGTTTGGGTACGTCGCCAGGGTAAGTATTCGTAGCATTCGCGTGTGAGTATCACGTTTATTATTCGCATCGAAGAAGTATTCCTTGACATGTGCATTGACATTGCCTACCCAGGTTCACGTGTCCATGATGACGATTGTTTGCAGGAGGAAGGAAAGAACTCCGCGGCCCGCCGGCATCCCCCGAGGAACCCGCGGGACCGCCGCAGCGGCGCCGCCGCAGACTGCCCGGGTAGGTAGGGCGGTCGCGCAGAGAGCGACGCTTCGATCGGCCGACCGTCGATTGTTGCCGCCGTCGGAGGAGGATGAAGAGGCGGAGGAGGAGGAGGAGGAGGAGAAGGCAGAAGAGGAGGAAAAGAGGGAGGAGGAGGAGGAGAAGGAGGAGGAGGAGGAGGAGGAGGGGGAGGGGGAGGCGGAGGAGGAAGGGCCAAGCTTCAAGCTACCCCCCCTCTTTTGGAACAGGAAGGGGGGCTTCCGACGCTCCCCCCCTCCCCCCCTTGGGTCTGCATTTTTTAGTTGGCACCCCCAGCAATTGTTAAGCTGCCCCCCCCCCACTACCTCCCCCTCCCACCCTTCAAGGCCTGGGGGGAGCCCGGGCTCCCCTTTCCAAAAAGGGGGGGCCTGCAGCGCAGTTGGCTAGCACCGTGCTGCACTCCGCGCGCCAAGGACAGATGCCACCGCTTCACGCAACAGTCATATACTAGCGCAGGTCTCCAAAGCCAACGTCGATATCCATACGCGCGCACAGGCTTCGCCTGTTCGGCCGCCTCCTCTTTAATGGGCCCGTGCACTTACTTGGGCTCCTGGGTGTTTTGCCTCGTGAAGCAGAGGGGTCAGGGGCGATTCAGATGATTCAAGATCTTGCCTGGCTTCGAGGTCTATCTCCAAAAATCCAGCACCCCCCTGATCCGCATGATGATCTTCTTATTCGGGAGATGTACGTTCGGAGTTCCAGCGCCTCTTGGAAAGCCACCATCGCCGAAGCTGCGCACAAACAGGCACACCACGAGCGTCGAGTTTCAATGGCACAAGACTTGTGCCATTGAAAGTTGCGGAGGACAGCATACTCCTTGTGCTGCATGCCGCAGGCGCCCCCAAGGCTATCTCGGACCCTACCCCTCCACTTCGACAGCAGGATCCCCTTCCAGCGTCCAAGAAGTGCACGCGGCATGGTCTCACGTTCCAGCAGGTCCGAGGTTCAAGGCAGCACAGCGTCAGGAATCAGATCATTTACACACGAGATCCGCAGCACCCTGGGGGGAGCACCACAGCACGCGAGCAATGCAGCATGCGTTTTGCAGGTCGTGCCTAACCCATCGAGCATTTGGCGAAGGATTCGCCACGATGCGCCATCCCCTGCATTGCGCACAGCCAGGAAAGCAGTCACGACCAGGAGGCAGAAGACAGGTAGCAGCAGATGCTAGAGAGATTCAACACAGCCGCAGCAGCCAAGCCTGCCAGTCAGCGAGCGGGTCTTGGCAGGTGGAGGCCCGCTCCCCCTGCTCATCGCGTTCCCCCCGCTCGCCCCAAGACGGGGTTCGAGACCCAGTACATTGACCATCTGAGTGACGGGGAGGCCCGTCAGGTGACGGGGAGGCCCGTCAGGTTCTGATAGAGTCGGATTATGTTTGTAGCCCCGAGGCCGCCGCAAATTTCTACGAGGTCCTAGTCGGACCGCGAGTGGGGCCTCAGCCTGGATCGGGCCCCTGGAACGTTACGGACCGATGTTGGCCCTGTCGGCCCCAGGAATACGAAAGAGAGGCTGCGTCGCCCATCCCAGCTCGCAGCAAGCGACCTGATATACTCGCGCTGAATATTTTTTCTCAGGCATGAGACGCGCAGGAGACGGACAGTGGAACCTTGAATGCGGGGCTGGTGATTCCAGATTTTCTCTGCATTGTTTGTCCATAGACATCGCCATTGATTCTGCCAGAGGCGACCACCCGACAAGAAACTTTCAAAGTTTGATTGACCACATCCGCTCTAAGCGCGGTTTCAACACTGGGGGGGGGACTGCGAGACGCGGTCCGCGGCACGATGGTACGATGCCCCCCCCTCCCCGCCCCGCACGAATCAGCGCGTTCGGGGCGCGCCGCATTGTACCAGGAGACAGGCACGGCAATTGGAAGTAGACTCGCAGTTGCTACGCGCCAGAGTTTTTCTCTCGGCGGAACATCTGAAGGGACATCCGGATGGCATGGCTTGAGCACCCTGTTCCCGCCACTTGAATTCCCTCCGCCCCCACCTCCTTTCGTTTGCGCCCTCTTGTTGCTCTCGCCTCCTCCCCGCTCGCCACAGTCACGGACATTGATCAGTGCGAGCATTGGCCAGCGGGGACTGACCCAGCTGCCATAGGACGAGCGCCAACCAGGATTCCCGGGATCCGCATGCCAGATTTCCCTGGCCATCTCTGCAATACCCCAGGAGGTGGCCGATGCAGCCATGACAGAGGTTTTGACATGACCTTGCCTGGCAAACGCCAAGAGTAGAAGAAGTTTCGCACGGCAGGCAAGAAGGTTTACCCGGTGGGCCTCTGTGAGGCTCTCGTTAGGTCGCGTTGTTCTTCGGTTGCTCAATCTGCGTCGTCGGACGTCGCCGACTTTGTTTTCGAGTCTGAACAGCCAGCCGTAATACAGGCCTTGCTGGACTTGTATGCCCCGCTGACCAGCGAGGACGACATCAGATGTTCGATTCCCTCGGACCCTGGTGCCCGCCCCAGTCGGGGCAAGCGCAGAGTTGATCCTGAAAGGCACAGAGCTCAATCAGAACATGCGCCAGACCCCCTTGGGGATCAAGAGCCCTCTGCCGACGCAGAGGAAGATCAACAATACAGAGCGTCCCAGAATGCTTCTGCGGACGCAGCTGACGAGGACGAGGCGGCTGCAGATCTTGGCATTGGCCTTGAGCGAGGCCCTGAGAGCCCGCATCGAGGCCAACTGAGCTGCAGCCAAGGTCCGCCAGGCCGAGCGAGCCAGTGCTGAGCATGTTCGAAGAGCGCCGTGGAGTGCCGAGGGCGTTATCCGAGGTTCGCGTTTCAGCGACATGCCCGCGTGGGAATGGGCTCCCGACTTGTTCACCTTTGGGAGTTAGTCCTGCGATGGCGAAAGTGGCGGGCTGCGGTCCTAAGCGCCACCCACAAGGCTAGCTGCACTGCACGAGCACGCACACAGCGAAGCCGCGCGTCGCATCATCACCTCCTCTCTTCCCTCCTGCCTCTCACCTCCTCCTCCTCCTCCTCCTCCTCCTCCTCCTCCTCCTCCTCGCCTCATTAGTATCCTACTCTTCCTCCTCCTCCTCCTCCTCCTCCTCCTCCGCCTCCTGTTCCTCCTCATCATCCTCCTCCTCAGTATCCTCCTCTTCCTCGTCCTCCTCCTCCACCTCCTCCTCGTCCTCCTCCTCCTCCTCCTCCTCCTCCTCCTCCTCCTCCTCCTCCTCCTCCTCCTCCCCTCCCTCTCCTCCTCCTCCTCCTCCTCTCCTCCCTCTCCTCCTCCTCCTCTTCCTCCTCCTCCTCCTCCACCTCCTCCTCCTCCTCCTCCTCCTCCTCTTCTTCCTCCTCCTCCTCCTCCTCCTCCTCCTCTTCCTCCTCCTCCTCCTCCTCCTCCTCCTCCTCCTCCTCCTCCTCCTCCTCCTCCTCCTCCTCCTCCTCCTCCTCCTCCTCCCCTCCTTTTCCTCCTCCTCCTCCTCCTCCTCCTCCTCCTCCTCCTCCGCCTCCTCCTCAGCATCATCTCCTCCTCCTCCTCCACCTTCTCCTCCTCCCCTTCCTCCTCCTTCCTGGTCCAGCCTGCCCGCCTGCATCTTCTGCCGGGGGGGGGGGGTGCGGCAAACGGGGTGGTGACCACACCGTGCGGTGAGTCGGTGGGGGTTCGGGGTCACCGCACGGTTTTGGGATTCGGGTTGTTCTCCGAGGATGTCTCGGGCGACAGGGGCCTCCGAGGTCCCAAGACCGTACGGTGACGGACCGTGCGGTGAGGTCTTGGGGGATTTCGATGTCACCGCACGGTCTGTCACCGCGCCGCGTCGGGACTCCAAAGTTTGTCTTGCCTGCCAGCCTGGCTCCGAACTCGCTGTTCTACGAAGCTTCGCCGTCGCTGCGGGCCTGCGGTCTGCGAGATTGTCGCCACTTTCGCGGGCTGCGTGGGGATCTAGCGGAGTGGTGTGCCATGGGCTCTGAAATTTGACCTCGCCCGCCGTGGGTCGCCACTTTAGGTGGCTGCTGATGGGTCTAGCAGAACGACGTCGACGTCCCACGCGGGCTTCGAACACCTCGCAATCCTTGGGGGTGGCCGTGATCTGCGAAATTGTCGCCATTTTCGAGGGCCTCTGGGGGGTTCACCCAAGCGGACTTAAAGTTGACCTTGCCAACCTTGGGGGGCTGCGATCTGCGAGATCGTCGCCACTCCAGCGAGTGGCGCTCCACGCGAACCTAAAGTACACCTCGGCATCCTTGTGAAGTCTGCGATCCTCTTTAAATGTTCACCACTTTCGAGGGCCCCTGGGGGTCCAGCGGAGTGGTGTTCACGCGGACCAAATTGTCCCTCGCCATGCCTGGGGGGGGCTGTGATTTGCGAAGCTGTCGTTTTCGAGGGCTGTTGGGAGGTTCAGCTGTGTGGTGCCCCACGCGGGCCGATGTTCAACCTCGCCATTTGGGGGGGAGGCTGCGATCTGCGAAATTGTCGCCACTTTCAAGGGCTGTCTGGAGGGAGGGTCCAGTGGAGCGACGTCCCACGCGGTCCTAATTTTGGCATGGCCATCTGTGGGGGGTTGTGATTTGGAAACTGTCGCTACTTTCCAGGGCTGCTGGAGGGTCCAGCGGAGCGGTGCCCCAAGCGGACTGAAATTAGACCTCACCACTTTCGATGGCTGCTGGGGGGCGGAGTGACGTCCCACGCGGACTGAATTTGAAACTCGCCATCCTTGGGCGACTGCGATCTGTGAAACTGTCGCCACTTTCGAGGTCTGCTGGGGGGTCCAGCGGAGTATTGTCCCAAGCGGACCCAACCAGACCTTGCCATCCCTGGGGGGCTGGGATCTGCGAAACTGCAGCGACGTTCGAAAGCTGCTGGGAGGTCCAGCGGAGTGGTGCCCCACGCGGGCCTAGAACAGACCTCGTCATCCTTGTGGGAGCTGCGATCTGCGAAATTTGTCGCCTCTTTCGAGGGCTGCTGCGGGGTCCAGCGGAGCGGCGTCCCACGCGGGCCTAAATTTGACCTCGCCATCCTTGGGGGGCTGCGATATGCAGAAGTGTCGCCACGTTCGAGGGTTGCCCGGGTGTAGCGGAGTGACGTCCCACGCGGATTGAGATTAGA